AAATAAGAGATAAAGTCACACCTCTGACCATATAAAGTTATATATATGAAGCTGATGAGAAACAAAATAATACATTCTTTTAAGCAGAAGTTTTGTTGAATAATCCTTACCTCTCACGCAGATGAAACATCTCATCATGTATGGATGTCACAGAGGCATACAACTTCTTCAACTCAAGTTCCATTATCTAGCATAAAAAGAAAATCATTCAATGGACGCCATGTATATATTTCGCACGAACAATTTATAAGCATAGAAGGAATGTAATAAAAAGAATCATATTACATTAAAAGGAATAAATATATCGACGTCAAAGCAAAATCTAAGCTTCCTACCCTTTTCCTAAAACATATACATTGCATTAGTCCAAAAAATAAAAAAATCACATCATAACAAATGGTCTAATTAATGATGCAAAAGTGTAACACAAATCAAATATTTGACTCCCATTAAAAGAAAAACTATCAAGCAGTCACTTACTTCAATATATCCTTTCTTTGCAACATTGGACCAATCTGTAGTAGCCATTCCAGTCCTCCAATCGAACTCAATCGTCACTGTCGTCGGAGGCTTATGCTCCGGCGCCCAAAAGCATATTGTATGATCACCGCTCTCCACCGCAGTGAACGCAAAATTACCTGATTCCACTTGATCACCATGGTGATAATTGTTGCCAAGAGGTGAATTCACCTACAACATTATAATATACCACACATTAATTATAACACATTGAAACCTCAAAAATTAACATTAACAACATATCAATAAACCCAAAACGAGCCACCACTTCCTCCTAAAAGAAATCCCTAATTTAATTTAATTTTTTTAAATTCTACCTCACATATTGTCAACTAAATGCATACACATTTTTAAGGAGGCACATAATTTATACAAATTTGATTTCAATACATGATCAGAGATAATACAAATTAGAAATTCTCTATAACAAGTTCGTAAACTTTTCCTTATCACTTAAATAAGACCCCTAACAATAAAATCTGCATACAATTATTAGCATCATATTTACATGAAAATCATGAAGATATTATACCAAATAATACATGATCACGATTTTTTTTTTTT